GAAGCCCAATGCAAAGACATTGTAAACAGCTGGGCTGGTATTTTGCCTGTTATGCAAAAACCCTCTTTGCTTTGCATGGTTTGCACCGCAGCAGCCGCTTGCAGCCCACCTTTCTGCAGCAAAGAGGTAGTGGCGCCGCTGAAGATGCCCCCAGTTTGGGAAGTGGCCGACGAGGCTGCCGTGGCAGCCTCGCTCTCTGAGGAAGAATCTGCCCTGCGCCTGGTTCTTCTTCCGCTTCTCACCCACATCCCCCATGGTCACAAGGCAGCGTCTCCCGCGCGAGCCGGGCCTTTCCTCCCGGTGATGTTCCCAAATGCACCGCGGCTGTGTGGCCACGCAGAGTCCCCCACCAAGCAGAAAGGGACAACAGACTGACTGCCACCTTCTCGACGGTCCGCTAGAGGATTTCCTCATGGGAACTGCATGTTTGCATGTGCGTGTTTGCGAAAAGCAGGTAGATAACCCTCAACAAAGCATATCAGCAGATCCATCTCATAAAACACCATAATGAAGTTTGCTTTGTTTAACTCCTTTATTAACTGTGCTGTGTTTAAGCAGAGCAGTTCTACTCCCTGATGTACTCTAGCATTGCCACTGACACCATTGAAATTACCTTTTTTTTTTTTTTGCAATCAAGAGCTATTTTTGTTCAGTAGTTTCATGCAAAGATTCCCGGCAACTCATCAAAAAAGTGAGAAGGATCTGCCCAAAAGAGGAATGAAAACAGAAGACTACAGATAACACAATTATATTGTTTGTCACCTTAGTAGGGTAAACTTTCCTTTTAAAACAAAACAAAAGATCTTGCAATCGGGTATTTAATACTGCCCTTCATTTCCTGGGGGGAGAAGATGAGGGGAAGGGAAAGGACAGAAAGAGGAGAAAATTCTTTTACTACAAAATATGGAAAGACAAAAATAAATCAAGACTGTAAATACTAGTGAGTGTTATTTGTATCACTGAGCTTAGAGTTAAAGAACAATTGTACTTCCCAAGTGGCTGCATAAATGTAAACTCTCATATACTCGCTCCTTAAAGAGTACCTGGTAACAACAAAGCGTCTGTCAAACCAACCCTTGTATCTCATCCACTAGAAATCTTATCTATACAATTAAGCCCACACTACAAAGGAGCAGATAAATAATGTCTTATTTTTCCAGCAATAATAGAGCTATCTATCTAGGTAAACTGCAGGCTTTTGTGTTTGCTTTTTGTGCCTGTTTACCCAGTTCATTTTGTTTAGCAGTTTTTAAGGAAAGATCTTAGAAAAATAAGAATTACAAAATAAATTCCTTCTCTTGACTGTGAAATGGGTATACAACATTTGTCCAGATATCTGTCTAGCTTTGTTATCCTCTTATGGCACATAAAATATAGAAAAGAGAAAAAGAGTCTATCATTCACACACACCAGCAATTTTTAGGATATTGTCTGTGTTTAAGGGTTACAGATTCCTTAAGCAAGCACTTTGCACCATGTTTCTGTTTAGAGCCTTACAGAATCTTTTAAGACGTATTAATAGGGTTAGTGTTAAACTTTAGGGGAACTAGGATCTTCCTTGGTGCTGTTGGCTGGCCCTGGGCTGAATTTTTAGTCCCCACTTTCATTTTAAAAGCATGTGATCTTTGCAACTGAAGATCTTGTCCTTTTGTAGTGTTGATACATAAAACTGAAATTGCTTTTTGCCTTCATCTGTCATCCACTCCTCCTCCATTTTTGCTCCATAACCGTTTTACTCTTCTACTACATTTCCACTTATGTTTGCTGTATTTTTTTCATCCCTGCCGTTGGCAGCAAACATCTCCACGGAAATTTTCAGAAAACCTAACTCATCCTAATGGGGAAAAATAACTCCTTAGCTGACAGTGCAGACTTGGAACATATAGATGAATTTATACCATGAAGCTTCAGGTCTTTTGAAAGCTGTATTGTGGGAACCCCATGAATGAGAAGCAATGAGGGAGTCTAGATCCTGTTGGGATATCCCAGCTGGATTCAGATGGGATAACAAAGGTGGGACAGGCTCTCAAAGCGGGTGCCGCAGAGGGTAGAGTGCAGCTCTGGTGAACCTGCTGCTGCGCCCTGGCAGGTGCTCTGGTGCTCTGGGCATCTTCCAGCTTCCCGGGAGCTTGAAAGAGGAACAGCCTGAGCTGTTCTCTGCAGAAGAGCAGGGAGAAGCACATGGTGCTACCCCCCAAAGGAAAGAAAACACAAAGAGTTTGAAATAATCCTCTCAAACAATCTTTCCCATCACAAGTCTTCACTTCAAAAGCTACAGCTTATCTTTTGATCCATAAAATACGTGACCATGGAGGACCATGAGAGTACGTTCTGCTGGGCATGGCTGTTTCCCAGAGTGAGCAGATTGCATATGGGCCTTATGCAGCATTCTCAGTTGGCTTACGCCAAGGCTTTTGTAAGCTTCAGGGAAGAGATTCTGGTCAGGATCAAACTTGATTTGCCCTGGGGTGCTCATTGATTTCACCTTTCTGCCAGCGGCAGGGCTCAGTGCCTGAACACGCTCTGGAATGCTTGTCAGCTGGCTTGCTGGAGAGAAATCAGTTTATTTTTGTGAGATGGACAGATCCTGCACACAGCTGCATCCCAGGCATTTCTGGGATTCTCCTTAAAAAGTAGAAATGTGTTGGCCTGTCTTATATTTGCTGGCTGTCTGCTGCAGGAATGTAACAGGCTTGTACTTTTGTTTATCTGCATGTTCTGCAAGGGGTTTTTCAACATTATTGTCCTTTAGTTTTTGTGCAATTAGACACACTGTAATCTAATCCAGAGCTTGTTTGGACCCGAGTTTGCATACTTGCTCAGATAAGATTCCCTCTCATTTATCAGCCACCCTGACATCTTTGTCAGCAACTCATAACTTAATTTCTCTCAGGTGCCCTAAAACTGCAGGTGATCCCATGAGCAGCACTCGGTACAAGTGAGTGCAAAAAAAAAATAAAAGGAGTAAGCGTAGTTGATAAAGGAAAAGGCCTCCTAATGAGAAAGGTCACCGAAAGTCTTTTTTTCATCACAGAATTCTCCAATTTGTGAAACAAGAAACTAGAACTACCCTAGTTCCCAGGGCTCATCCACCCTCCGATCCCTTCCCCTAAAGCAAGGTTAGTTATACTCTAGATAATATTACTTTTAAAGACAAGCTCTTGCTTGGAATGATCAGAAGAAGTAAGAGCATGAGGAACAGGAATAATGCTTTTAGTATCTATAGGTACGTATTTACTATATTGCATATATTGGTTTCTAGAGATTCTGGGATTATATTCCTTGTTGTTGGGGCTCAGTTATTCCATCAGATAACACAAGCAAGATGGTTTTCCTGTCTTATAACTTTGGCCATTCTAGGCTTGTAATTTAAAGACAGAGCTGGTCTGTGGGTGTATGTATGTAAGTGTATATGTATATTATATAAAAATACATAGTGGACATTCTCCTCTAGATATTATTATGTTTTAGTTTTTCTTTTGTTGAATAAATATTACATTTTCTGATGATCTTGGTTCATCAAATGGATAAAGTCTGCCTACTTGCATTCCTTTTTTTTCTGGGTACATCTTTGGACAATAAGTGGATCCTTAAAGGAAATACTCCCTTTTTAAAGAAATTATGTAAAATACATTAAACTCTAAATATTTTTACATTAAAAACACTCTTTAAGAGATAGAGAGAGATAGAGGTAGCAATCTTCAGCATTTCTGACGTCAACCATGTTTCTGAACTTTCAAACACTATCCCGCTTGTATATGCAAAAGCAACTTCTTTCCTCCCCCGTTATTTCAGATGGCGCTGTAAGAAATACCCCCTCTCCCTCTGTATCTCTGCTTGGCTAAATAATATCTCAGCACAATGAACAGGAGTCCTCCTACAAAATAACTTGTTGCTTCCAAACTCTGGGCTCTCTCTTCAGAACCTTCTTACCCCACAGAAGATGAAGGAGTCTTTGGGGACTAACACATCCTAGACGCTGATCATTTTTGTTTACCTTGTTGTGCAATCTACAAGACTAACAAAACTCATTCAAGAAATCATAGAAAGACATCTTTAACGGGATTTTCTTGGTAGTAGTATCAGCAGTCATGCAAAGCACATACTCATTTTCATTTTTACTCCACCTTCTCTTCAAATAGACTTTCGAGTAGACTCATGTAGACTTTCAACCGTGAATGAATAATATCTAACAATTGCTCTTTGAACTAAACACTATTATCCCTGTGTATGGAGCTGAAACTGGACCACAGATTGTTAAATAGCTTTCCCAGGAACGTATCAAAGCTACAGCAGTCAGGAAAAAAAGCCCCTCTCTTTTTGTCTCAGTTCTGAATTTTGAAACAGTAAGATCATATTTAAGAAGAGCAAGCAACTTATTTTAGAGCCAGAGAAATACAGTTTCAGACATATGAAAAGGGAAAAAAAAGTAATTTCATTTTCTCTTAACAGCTAAATTGTTGGGAAGCTTTTCAGAGGAGGAAATCAAGCTTTAAAATCCCCAATTCTTCAGTCCATTGAGAACAAAACAAAGGTATTTTCTAAATACTAGTACCATGCCATCTCCTAATCAGATCACTGAACACCTCCACCACCAAATGAGACACAAATACCTCATAATATTTCACTCTACAAGGTACTTCATTCACAAATTACCAGAAAAGCTGCATATATATTTTTAAAGTGATCATATCAAGCCAGTACCTTTTACACCAGGAAAAAAGTAGTCATTGTATTTTGCCTCAAATGTGAAATTCCTCAGGTGCAGTGAGAGCAATGCCAAGCGGGACCAGTCAAAGGAGAGATTGAGGTGGGAGAGAGAAGAGTATGACCAGAGGAGAGAAGGCAGGTGGGATGGTGAAGGAGAAAGAAGCAAAGATGCAGAAGGAAAATAGCAGACAGGAAGTCTAAGGAGAAAAAGAGGAAAAAATAAGGGGCTGGAATGAGAGAAAGGAAAATGGAGAGGAAAGGGCTGGAGCAGCAGGAAGGGGGCACCTTACCCAGCAGCTGCCAGCGGCTCCTGGAAGGGCAGGCCGAGGGCCGGGGCGCTGCCATGGAGCCCCGCGGGTTGTCCCCAGCTGTCCCCAGCCCTGAGCGAGTGAAACCCAGCAGCGCAGGTGGTTCTCTTAAGGGTGAACGTCACTGCCCGCAATGAAACCACTTCTTCAAAAGCAAGGAGCCGAGAGCTACATGAGGCGGCTGTGGCAGCGGGCGAAGAGGGGCCTCTTTTGGGTCGGGTCATGTTTTCCTTCTCCAAGAGGGTCACCGCGCAAGCCAGCCGAGCCAGCCCGGTGCTGCCAGCTTGTGCTTTCTCTGCTACTTTAGTCCTTGGCTCACCCTTCTAAAGAATCTATTTTCTTGGGTAAGTTAGACACAGCTGAGTTTTTATTGCCTCACCTCAACTCTTATTTTTGAAGCAGTTTTGGTTTCTGCTTTTGCACACTGTCTGACAGTCCATGTAATTTGTCTTGGTGACAACGGCCTGAAGAGGCCTGTTAAAAAAACCCTCTAGTGTGGGAATACCCTGCTGCCTTGGTCATTCTGAGCAAGGGTGATTTTTAATACTGGACAAGAGCTCAGTGTGCTGGTGACCGACGCACACAGGACCTCAGTGTCCCCACCAGCACATGTGCTGCATTCATAGGGGTTGTTGAGGAGCCACTTGCCCCGCTCCAAAATGCAAGACAGGGAGGGAGAGCAGGGCTGCAGCAGCAGGGATGGGGGCCCAGCGCTGTCCACAGGAAGGTTCAAACATCTGCCTTGCAGCCGTTTCACAGATGACTTGTCTAGGGGATAAAAATAAAGGCCAGCAGACTTGCCCACAGATGCAGGCCTCTAAGGACATGCCCGTGCGCCCTCTCTTTGACTGAGGGTGGCACCAGCATCTGCCCTCACGCACATCACACTGTTTCTCGCTCTTTCCGGTTTGCTGGTAAATCAAGGGTTTAACTAGACCATCTGTCTCTGAAGTTGCTTAGACAGGTTTCCTGTTTTATATCACAACAGATTGTTACAGAGGGGCACAACCACACTCACCTCCCCAGGATAGAACGGGGATGCAGATGTAAAGGGCTGATCTGATGTATTCCCAGGTTGACTTTCAGCCTTCTGAGGAGGGCAGCTGTATCAGACAGTTGAGGGGAGTGACTGGGGTATGACTGATTTTCTGATTTCATCGACAAAGTTGGTGTCAGTTGTGCCAGTAGAGGGAAAGGAGGGGTTGACCCTGTGCCAGGAACACGAGGGAACTGTTACGGTCTGAGGGAAACTGAGATGTCTCAGCAGCTTTCTTCAACTGTCATCTGGTGGCACCCATGCTCCTTCGCTCCGCCTCACTAGGACAATCTTCACAAACGCCATCATACCTTCCTCTTTGTCATCGCTGCTGCTTAGCTGCAGGTAAAATGGCAATATGGTTCGGGGACTCTATGCACTATGATTCATCCTATCGCTGTATTTTTACTTGCTAAATACTGAGATTCCATTCTGCAATCACACTGGTACAGAATATAAACAATCTCTGTCCAAAAAGCTTGAATAAAAAGCAAATAAATTCAACATCAGAAGATACTCCTAGAAACTTGTCTGAGACTGTATCTAGAATGGATCTTTTGGGACTCGTCCTTGTTAAATAGTTCTTTTGGACAAGCAAAGATTAAATAAAAGTGTAGATGGACCTAAACTAGAATGACATGTCACATCTAAAAGAAGGTGTAGAAAATGTTCCACAGATAGTTGCAGGAGAAAATGGTATTAAGTCCAGCATTGCCAGCTATGATGAGCACATGATCTCTCACAGGACTACCTTGGAAATGTGGATTGAGACCATAATACAGCACTCTGGTGCTGAAGACAAGTTTGTATCTGGTGCTGTACAAAGGAAGGAACTGAAAGGATTTGAACATCGAGTGATACCTTTGGGAAAACACGAAAGGAAGCCCATAAGCTTTAAAGAAATCATTGCAAACAGGGAAATGCTGTGCTGGAAATAAGCTTTTAGGGTTCCTATTCTGTCTTTGCTTTCCTGGCTGGCAGGTTCATTTTTAACCTTCACTGCTGCACTGTGGTTTGGTTAAGCACCAGTCCCATCTCCTTCAGCATCACACCTAAATACAGGTTCTGCCATTAGAAACCATGGTGTAGACAGATTGGGCTTCTGTTCTGAAACTGCCAGAAATCTGCCCCAATAATCCATTGCTGTTGGCAGCGAGGTGGCATGGCCATGACCTGCCAGCGCTGTTACCTATGCTTTAAACTGTGGATGTCTGCACTCTGATTTTAAATTCGCAAGTGAGCAAGCTGCTTTATATTTTCTCTTCCACCTGCAGCATTCACGGGAAGCTACTGAGATTTCGTTTACCATATTTTGCCTTCTTGTGGTTCAGACAAGCCAAAACCAACATTAACTTTCTTAATCGTAAGTATCAGAATCTGTTACTGGTGATTCAGCTGATCTGGGGTCAGAAGTACAGGAGATATTCTTAGCTTAAAAGCTGTTGTGAAAGATGTCTATAGCTCAGATGATAGTTCATATTTCTTGGATGTAGTTAAAATAAATATATAAAACCTACTATATTATCTTCTTCCTAAAAATGCTGGACTGGGGTGAAGCACTAAATCTGTAGGACAGTAAAGCTTTCTCCTGGGTAAACATGACTTTTTATTCTCCCTCGTCCCGCCTCGCCCTTGTGGCAGTGGCTTCTGTTACCAAATATTTTATCCTTGTTATATCACATTATGGTTACTGCAACAGTTAGATAAAAGCAGCTCCAGGAGGAGTAACCACAAGGTAGAAAACTCTCCAGCTCCAGCACACGACTGGATTAGCAGCACACTGACACAAGACTCATGATTTATCCATTGTGCTAATACGAACGTCAGGCTAAGGGCAGACCTCCCAACTCCAAAACATTAATAGCTTAGGTGCTAACAGGAGCACTCCAGGGTCAACTCCTGACTTACTACTTGACTTGAATACAGAACTTCACTGAGTTGAAGTAATTTTTTTTATATATGTTACTGGGTATCTTGTTGGGAAAAAGATTACCAGAAACTGTTAGCAAAGACTTGCCTTGTTATGGACCTCTGGACATTGCCACAGCAGGTTGCCCCATTCAATCAAGTATCCCGACTGCAATATTTGTCAGTCTCAAATATTTTAGAGGGAGGTAGAAGAAAAAAAAAAAGAAAAAGAAAAAATCACATTGTGGAATAATCTCCTCAAGGGAGGAAACCTCCCTTCGACCTCAGACAGTATTTGGTTTATAACCTGAACCGTCAGGCTTTAATGCCATTCCTTCAAAATGTAAATGAATAAATGCTAAATTCTTGTTTAATATTACTGTGGACTCCAGCCATGCTTGTATTTTTGCAAACCTTGATTTTTTTTTCTGTCTTATGATATACTGCAATGGTAATATTCAAAAGTTTAAGTACAGACTGTACAGAAACACTTTAGAAAATGTATTTCCTTTGGTCTGTTTCAACAACATTAAGTAAGGCCAGTTCTGTAAATAGAGATATCTCTACTTACAGAGAAATATTTCTTATGAAGCCAACTAGCATTGTTGGAAAAAAAAAAATAGTCCTTGAGCATTACTTTTTCCAGCTACTGATGGCTTAACAAAAGATGTCTACCTGCAAAACATGTCCTGCCTATGTCTTAGAAAAATCATGGCTACAATAACTCTATCACTGAAAAAGTATTGTTATTCATTTGTATTATCTGGTGCCAGCCTGCACTTCAGACTGTTTCCACATGATTTACTAAACATGTTAATTTTGAGTCGACACAAAGGGAAACTGTCACTCTCAACAGCAGACAGCTTTCTCAACACTGGTTCTAATGTTAGGGGAGAGCTATTTAGCACTTGCAACCTGATTTGGCTGGGGAAAAGAGTTCCTGGCACGCATTTTCGCTCCAAGGATTTCCATTTTTCTCTCCCCTCCGCCCCCTTATTTTCAATCTCACAATGTTTTGGCTCTGCCTTTCTGTCAGAGCTCATAATATCTCCGCCACTTGGCTACGCATGTCTGTGGGAGCATTTCCCTATTTCTAGGTCCAAAGGTACAGCATAGTTATGATTTGAGCCCAAAATGGACAAGACTCAGGGGCATCTGCTCCTCATTCCTTCTCCCTGGGTTTCATGCAAAGTAAATCTGGGTACATGTCCCAATGTACTGCACTGTTCATCATCAGCTGCCAATCAAGGGACTTAGTTTTGTGGGTAAAAAAAAAAAAAAAAAAAAAAACAGATAAAATGGATAAAATCATCAGTCTGCAGGAATTCCCAGTAAATCCCTGTGAACTGCATGAGGAAGTGCAGCAAGCCTGAAAAGTCAAAAAGCCACTGAATGACCCTGCATTCAGGCTGACCCAGTAGGAATAGGCAACAGAAATAAAATTTTGGAGGTTGACGCACAGCTATGACTAGTGACAGGCTCCCATATACCCCCCACTTAACACCTGCACATTAGTCTTCAGCTGAGTCCTTATATATCGTTTATGGAGATGAAGAGACAGGAGCTGCAAGAGCTCATCAGCGCCAGAAGAGGCTCATGCCATCTTTAGCCCTTCCTTATTAGCAGCTCTGCTCCGTTGACTGAGAAAACATAAAGAGGACAAGGCTGCTTCAAAGCCGACACGACATTGAGGGCTCAGGTTTGGCACTGGGCTGAATTCTCTGGGGAGAACCCAAACCGCCCCCTCCTCAGCACCATATTCGGGCTCAGCAGTGCTCCTGTGCAGGCCACTATCTCAGCTCTGCCCACATCCTGTCTGAATGTTTCCAACCTGAACTACAACAGGCAGGCAGAAAAAAAACGTGGGCTGTGTACGCACAAGCCCATGTGTGTCTTTGCTCATAACCTCACGGTGTATGCTTAATATTAGATATGTGCGTGGATCAGCAAAAGAGCTGTGGGAAACGCAGATGAACAGGGTTGAAAACACACGTTAGAATACACTTTAGTGATGGGAGTGGCTACACAACTGGAAGTCTTTGCTTGGAAGAATTTATTTCATGCTCAACCAGTTTACCCAGAAAAGGCATTTC